AGCAGGAATCAGCAGACAGGGGCTGGGGTGCAGAGGCCAAGCCAAGGGCTGGGACAGGGAAATGCTGCCTGCCTTCCCACCCCCCGGGGGCTGCAGGGACCGGCCCAGACTCTGCAGGATACAATGCCCATGTGCCAGTGGTCCGGTGGATTAGAGCAGCACCCCTTAGGTACAAGCAGGGAGTACTGCACGAGGGGCAAGAGGGGCTGCAGGTGACGAAGGCTGGGTGGGCAGCTCCAAACGTTGGCTCCGCTGCCATCCAGGAGCGCAGCAGAAACCTTGGGCCTCAGAGGCCAACAAGCAGCTACTGAGGAGCAGAGTCACAGCTGGCTTCACCCCACTGCTCACAGTGGGAGAGCGAGAGGGGACCCTGGAGAGCAGATATACAGGGATCTTTTCAACACTCTCCTGTGCTTTCTCCCACAGCAACCAGTCAGGGGAAGGCTGTGAGGAAGGGACATGCAAAGCAGCAGCTCTCCGCTAGCTCTGCTTGCTGCTGGCACCCAGGCAGACAGCTCTCCATTCCCACGTGTCAGCGAGCACTTCCTGAGCAGTGCTCTCGGGCCACAGCAGGTCAGCTCCTCTGCACTCTCAAGGCCAAGACCAGGCTGCCTGCAGCAAGGGCTCTCTCTTCCAGCAACTCACAGCACAGAGCCAGGGGAGTTAAAAGCTGGGCAGCAGGCAGCGAATACCTTGCAGATGCAGAGTCACAGCTGGCTTCACCCCACTGCTCACAGTGGGAGAGCGAGAGGGGACCCTGGAGAGCAGATATACAGGGATCTTTTCAACACTCTCCTGTGCTTTCTCCCACAGCAACCAGTCAGGGGAAGGCTGTGAGGAAGGGACATGCAAAGCAGCAGCTCTCCGCTAGCTCTGCTTGCTGCTGGCACCCAGGCAGACAGCTCTCCATTCCCACGTGTCAGCGAGCACTTCCTGAGCAGTGCTCTCGGGCCACAGCAGGTCAGCTCCTCTGCACTCTCAAGGCCAAGACCAGGCTGCCTGCAGCAAGGGCTCTCTCTTCCAGCAACTCACAGCACAGAGCCAGGGGAGTTAAAAGCTGGGCAGCAGGCAGCGAATACCTTGCAGATGTAAGATTCAAAGCCCTATGTACTCCCATCATGGGAAAGACAGAAACATCAGGCAGTCACTCGCTGTCACGCTCAAGCAGAAGATGCTTTGCAGACAGACAGAGCACTATTGTCCGTTAGGAGAGGATGGCAGTCTCTCTCCAGCATCGCTCAGCTGCAGAGACAGACTGCTGTGTTATAGAAACCTCCAAACAGAAAGAAATTCACTTACAGCTGGACTAACACAGTATTCTGAGGAGCGAACAGAGCCTGCCCCCATCTCTCACAGGGAGCTCACTGTTTCACAGGAACCGGACTGAATTCGAGCAAGAGGAATGCCCAGCCATGCCTCTCCATCAGCTTCAAGAGGCTGTCAATCCACCTGCTAGCTCTCACTGCAAGGGCCCCTCCGTTTCAGCCTTTACGAATCTCCCCAGGCTCTCCTAGCCCTCCTGAACTGGGCTGAGTTTACCCTGCTTTGATGACACGCCTGCACCCAGCTTCCTCATGAAAAAAAACTGGACCCAAGCACTCCAGACGTTAAACCGCCAAAGCCAGCTCACGCACCGTGCCTCCAGGCCCACGAGCAGCCCTGACAAGGAAGTGAACTGTCAGCAAAGATTAAGGACTATTCAGCTTTCAAATCTGATCCATCCAGTGGGGTGAAGAGCCCTTCCCAGCACGCTAAACTCTGGGCTCTGGTTTCCGCGATCACTGAGCAAGGGATTTTCCTCTGCCCAGCCACCACGCACGCGTACGCCTGCCCACCCCTTCCCAAACCAGGTCTCCTGCTCCCTCCCTTGACCCCCTGGGTACTCACAGCCGTCGAGAGCCGAGACGCCAGAGTCATCTCTAGGTTCCCCTTCAGGCCCAGTAACGCAGGTACCAAGATAAACACCTCTGTCACGTATTTGAAGACGTCCCAGTGCTGCAAGATCAAAACAAAGACAGACTATCAGAAAATAATCACAGCTGCTGGAAACCTTTGCTTCGGACTGAGTGTCACGTGCTCTTTGCCTTTGCAGCCTGGCACTGCCCGCATGTGGCCCTGAGCAGACAAGCCAGTTCCCCTTCTGGTGCCACACTTTGAATTCTGCAGCAATTTTACTGTTCTTGACACTCGTGTAGTAGTGACCACCTGTTCCTGCTGTTTTTCCTGCTGAGCTCAGAAATCAGATCTCGGCCTTCAGTTAAAAATCCCCCAAAGATCAACCACTGACAAAATGTTTATGCATACAAAGGCCAAAATAGGAAAAGACGAAGAGACTTTGCCCAGCGCTTGCAGGTTTTGGCAGGACCAAGTACTGAAGCTCAGCCAGTCTCAGCCGAGAGCCATGCCCCACACGTGTGTCTTACAAATACATTTCGGAGCAAGGCATCGCTGCTCCCTCATCCTGCCAGCTCAACAAGCAGCTGACCACCATCTCCGTTCCCCCCTGCCTCACTGAGGAGATGTGCGCCCTCCCTCAGCTCACACCTACGTTACTCGGGGATTTACTAACTACTCGGGCTCTGCGGTCAAGGCAGCTCCCTTGGGCACGAGGCAGAAGAGGCAGCCACGGTTATTTAGGAAAAAACGAAGTGTAATTGCAGGGTGAGCAGTCTCACAGGAGAGCAGCTGGCTGCCATGAAAACACAAAACCACCCCCAAAAAACTCACAACCGCACTTAAAAAAACCCTGCAAGCTACACAAATACTATTGCCCAACTCTTTATTTTCATGAATGTTTTGCAAAAAGGCCCTGTGTCCAAAATAGCTCCCACTTCCCACACAGCCACCATCCTTACAGGACACCGAGCAGGGCTGTGACTGCGCTCTCGGCAGCTGCCTGCAGCGCTGAGCACGCTCGCGGGCACGGCTCTCCCCGCCCCC